ATTTTTCATTTCTTCATTTTCATCAAAAAAAAAAATCTTAATCCAAAGTATTTTCAAAAAGATTTTCTACACTTTCTAAACTTTGCAAAGAACAACATAAAAAAATACAACCGAATTGACAACATCCTCGTTTCTGTAGTCGGTTGTAAAAGATCTTAACACAACACGTTTTACTGCTAATCTCTGCACTTAAAATGACCTTAACTACTTTGACAATTTTACCAACACATTTAACATTATTAACCGAAGCTTTAATGCATTCATTATGTCGCATATCAACCATCCGTGATCCCTGTGTCATCGCAATATGGACGCAAATGGTGAGGAATAATGCATATCTGAATATAATGAGGTATCCAGGGATTGCTCATGAATATCTACTCTATTGCATAAATCCCGTGAAGCTGATAACCTATTATTTCAGCCCTCAGAACGTCAGCCTTTGTTCATAAATATAATCACTAACGAACTATAAGTTGATTATAATGATTTCCTTTAGTAAAAAGGATGTAAAGTAACAGCCTATATATGTCCCACTGCTGGGCAAAGGCCTGTACAGAGGGTATAAAGGTCCAACACGCGGCCCCACTGCAGATTGGCGGACTTCATAATATATCTTCGAAATATATTTTTCTTTGTTATTATTCCGAAAATACGCAGGAACTACACGATGTTTTCCTTCACCGCTGATCACGTGATAAGTCGGCACTTGAAATTTACAATTTCATTGGTGCCGGCACCGGGGATCGAACTCAGGTTGTTCGAGTATATTGAATTAAAGGTGAGCGCCCGGACACTGAGCTATCACGGCTTAATTACCATTATTTATGCGTATATCAAACGTTTAAGCAAATGCTTTTTATGAATACAAAGCGCCTTCCTTTCTTAGCTTTATATGAGTGATTCACCGCGTTAAAATACGCGAAGGAATATCAAAGTATCGTTTTTTTATACATTGACGAGTTGGCATAAAAAATGGAGTCGTAAGAAGTGTAGTTATAACACGTTTTCTGTTCATTAGTAACATAAAATGTCTAATTAAATATAAGTCATATTATCTCAACGATAATACAAATGTTTAGTTAAATAGTTTTATTTTTTTTAAATGTTTCCTAAAATTTCAAAAACCTTCTAGGAATCGGATAAACTAGAAAAATCCTAAGAAATTGATACCGAAATGGTAAGTTTTTTTAGATAACATGTAATTTAGTTAGATTTATTGTTGTAAATATTGGATATAATAATAAATATATACTAGTGGTATGAAATTAGAAAATGGTAAGGACACAAGTACCATACTTCGATGTAAGTAAAATTTGTTTATAACTGGAGAACTATAATCTGCAAGAAATTTGACATGTCATTTACTACTCATTAAGTTGGTTGGATGAACGAGGTTATGTGCTTCTAATTTTTGGTTCCGAGAGTGGAACCTGTGCAATTTTCTTGCTGTGAAATGTATGCTTCAGATGTAATACAATACAATTTGTCAAGGAACTATCATGAAAATTTTATCTGGACTCTAGTTCTATTATAGAAAGTTTCATTGAAATCTGTTTTGTATACGTTGTTTGTTTTAACTGCGTAAAATATTATAGTAGATATACGTCAAATAGCAATGTAGATTTTACGATATTAATGTTCAATTTTGAAGTACATAATACCTACATTATAACCTTTTGGCGTATTATTGGAGCGTTCTCATTTAAATATTCCATTCGGTCTGCGGTTTGTGGCGGCCATGTTTGATTCGTAATGATCGCGCCTTTTTCTCCCCTTGTTTTTTTTAAAAGCATGTTATAAGAGGCCATTGTGTTTGTCAACAGGTTCGAAAAATGTTTTACCTATTTGCTGATATCAATATGTTAATACGCGAAGCAAAAACTTTGTAATCCTTTTTGCTAAAATTCCGTGGACAAAGGAGTAACCACTAGAAGTCCAGAATGCAAATATTTTTTTTTGAAATTATGCATAAAAGACTTAATGTATTTTTCATCATCATTAAAAAACATTACGGACACCATGACGTATTTTTATTATATGTATACTATTAATTACGAATTGATTGAATTTCGACCACTAGGCGACCACTAGTCTTATACATCTATACAGATAAACAAAATTGAAGTGTCTGTTTGTAATATTAAAATAACCGCTTTATACTAAATGCATATAGATGTGTGTACGGTACATATATAACAAAATAAATATTTTTTACAATTTTTGTGTGTCTGTCTGCTTGTTCCGGCTAATCTCCGAACCGGCTGGACCGATTTCCTCGGGACTTGCACTGGCACATAGCTGATGTAATAAGTAGTAGCTTAGGCTACTTTTGACTGATGTCTGACTGTCTGTCCCTATGTATGCTTAGATCTTTAAGACTACGCAACGGATCTTGATGTGGTTTTTTTAACTAGATAGAGTAATTCAAGACGAAGGTTTATTTGTATAATACATTGCACCCGTGCGAATCCGGGGCGGGTCGCTAGTTATATAATAATTTAATTTGATTTGCTACGAAATTCTAAATGAATACTTCCAAAAGTATTGTAAGTATGTAAGTATATATATATATATATATATATATCTATATATATATATATATATATATATATATATATATATATATATATATATATATATATATATATATATATATATATATATATATATATATAAATATATATACTTACATACTTACTATAATAATTATTTGTTTGTATTGATATATATCAATACAAACAAATAATTTATTATGAAACGTCATCTTAAGTGCAGAACTTCACACTATAATAGTTTAAATTTGATTTTTTTTTGGATTTATTTATTGCTATTACTTAAAAAAAAAGGATAAAAAAGGGCGAATTTAATGTCTTTTGGCATTCTTTGCCAGTCACGAGACACACTGAGGCGGTAACGTTTGAATATCACTCGAACTACCGCTATGTTTTCAAGTTATATGGTCGTTCTACGCAGTAGGTACTAATTGAATTTTATCTCGCTACTAGTACGTTGGGGCCTAGATTTAATTTTATAAACAATAGCATTGATTGAAGATTAGCAAGCTGAAGTGGCGATGGGCCGGCCATATAGCTCGTAGAACCGATAACCGTTGGGGAAGAAAGGTTCTCGAGTGGCAGCCTCGTACTGGCCATCGCAGTGTAGGACGACCCCCCACTAGATGGAGTGACGACCTGTGCAAATGTGCGGGAAGTCGATGGAATGCAGGTGGCTCAGGATCGTGCTTCATGGAAGTCTATGGGGGAGGCCTATGTTCAGCAGTGGACTCAAACAGGCTGAAATGATGATGATGATGATGAAACAATAGCAGCTGTTAGCAGCATCTAACCCTCCTGTATTGAAATTCGTACTTTTTAACGTCAGTTCAGAGTTCTTTGAATTGAATTTGATAGTAGTTTTGGCGATTCAAAATGTACTCATAGACTTGTTTGGTCTTTTATATTTTGTATGTGCTATATGTTCCTGCATGCGGATTTTTTATCGTTCTCTTGTGTTTGTACTGAGAAAACGTAGAGACTCTATAACACCACGACAGTATCTTCCATTTTATTGCAATTTGTACAGCTATTAATGCAACGTCAAGGAAATGTTACAAAGGGAAAACATCTTGCAAGTTTCTTTTATATTTCCCCCTATTCAGTGTTGATTCATTATAAAACCCTTACATGTAACATGTTGGTGAAGAATTTGAGTTTCTTTTACTGTAAAAAGACTTTTCAGTCTAACATAGACGCGGTGGAAAGTTTTCAACGTGTACCTACGTTTTGTTTTTAAAATAAACTCGCGTTATTATTACGTGCATTTGTAATTATAAATGTTATACACTTTTAATAACAGTAAAATAGGACGGTTAAATATATATAAATTAAATTGACGGTTTATAAAAACGCATGTGTAAAAAAATAACGATTTAGTACGTTTTTCATTTAGGTATCGTTATTTGGTAGGATAGAACTCAGTAAGCAACCGGTCCATACTAGACGGTCACCATTAAGTAAGCAAGTGTCTATGGTTTGTTACCATAATTATAAAAAATAAAAAAATATTTTATAATAGTCAAGTTAAAACAGTCCTCGTTTCAGGCGATTCAAGACTTGTGGTTTAAAAAAGTATCTTAATTTGATTTAAAAGAATTACTTTTAGTTTGCTAAAAGCATTACTAATACAAAACTGTCTTTTAGATAGATAATTAAATCCCTCTGGGGGTCTGTCGGTTGTACACTTGTTCCGTGAATCGAACCCACGACCCATGCCAATGGCGCTAACGTAGCAATGCCAAAATCAGAATCGACAATCGTGTAAATAAATTTTCCTACTACATATGTCTGATTGTTTTAAAAGTTATACGCAATGAACGCATATTTACTTAACTATACATTCGCTTTATTATTTTTTTTTTCAAATTCAGCAAAGCGTGAAATGATGAGGAAAATTATGATCCGCGATACGGGGGCTTCGCTGTGTTCATTTATAAATACGTGTTTACCCTTCGGCATTTAGTTAGAAGAATGCTGAGATTGTTATTTCAAATTGCAGTCGTCTATTACCATAGTCAAGTACTAGAGTACTAATAGCGCGCAATTGTTTTGAAACAACAGGCCTTCCCGAGATCACCGTGCGTAAATAAATCAGTAATGATTCAGCCGTCGTAGTCAGCCTTGGTCGAGAAGCCGGAATCTGTGCTGAGGCGGAGTAGGCAGCTCGTAATTGGACTTTGTTAATCGTCGGTACCACCGAAAAATCGTTACCTCGATGTCGCTCGGGTGTTAATGTCAGATTATGTTTATCCGCCTACCGTCTCCGCGGACGGATCGCCCACCATTTTGTCTCGGGAAGCCGAACCATCGATCGCACTGGCACTCACTATAAACTGGACTCTTCTAATTCTCTAAAACGCGTCACAACAACCGTCGTCACTTGCACTTTGACACGACCGAGCATACCTTTTTACTGGTCGTCGTTTTCAACTTATATCTTACCATCTTCCTTATCCGCACGGTGATATTGTCATAAATCGATTGAAATCGACACGGGTCGTAACGTCGCCCGGGAAATACGCGACGCGCGCTGTCCGCGCCAGATTCTTTGAGAATAAAACCGGAGTAAAGAAATAAAGATATAAAGTTCAAGTTTGCGATAGTCGCGCGAGAGGGAGGCGGTGCGGTTTTAGCGTAGAGAGACGCAGACGGATATAGATAGCTGATTGCGTCTCGAACTGGGGTTATGCGCGAACGCAAACTGGTTGGCAATGATGACCACAACAAGTAATGCGTTACGGACAACGAGACGGCCGAAGTTACGCGGTCTCTGGTCATATGGGCGGATAAGCGATGCTTAACGATCGGAAAGTTTGAGGTATCTTCATTCTCACTGCACACTTTTGTAGTCTAACCTTTTCACGAACCCTTTAATAAGCATAACTTAAGATATTGTTGTTACATTGAGAATCATCCTTAGTTATTGTGTAAGAGAGATAATTTATTTTGTTACAAGTTAATGCTTGCTTGTTTACGCACTGTTGGTTGTGGCTTAAGTCATCTCGCCATCTCGAATATGTCAAGTCGAGTGTCGGTTTGCGTCGAAGTAACCAGTCGAAGTAACTTCATTATAGATCTCCGTCCAGGAGATTTATAATGAAGTACTACTCATTTGTACTAAGAATATGTGAATTTTTGTTATATGTTTTGAGTCGTTTAGATTATGAATCACTCAAGAGTTATAAAAATATGAAACAAACTCCTAAATTTATTTGATTTTATTAGTTCATCCAAAGGTTAACCAAATTACTTTTAGTAATGAGACCGCCCATTGTACCCATCATACATTAATTTCTTGATTCTTGTTTACTTTATATATATATTTGGTTAGCAATAAAGAATATTCATTCATGCATTCATACGGAAGCCTGTTTTCCTGAAAGCAGTGTCTAACAGGCATCCTTTGGATTAAGTAATCTTTTTTCGTATATCACGTTGAAACATTACAGAATGATATAAAACTACGAAATGACTACTGAAAAGCCGGCGTAAAGTGGAAGTGATATCTTCCACTTTACGCCGGTCTTCTGTGAGGTCGTGGTACTTACCCGGACGTACCTGCCCATTCGTGCAACAGCGAACACTGTTGCGTGGCCCTAACAGGTGGTACCTATCTGTCCAGATTTTGAGTTATTGAAGGAAAAACTTCTTCAGGCGCGTTGAGCACTTTTTGGGTGAACAAACATGGAACTCGAGTCCTCGCGTCGAACGTCAAGAATTAAAGTTTTAAATTGGTCATTAACACTTCTATACACACCCAAAATAATGCAAAAAAAATAATAGCTCCAAGATTAAGATACGATTCAAAAGTTACTACTGTAAAACTAACTTCGCATCTGGGTGTTTGTCCACGTGAAATTTATGTTTGTAAAACGTCCTTACAACACAGGATAATATTATCCTAAAGTAAGGGCAATGTATTTCAAAAAAAGAAAAAAAAAAAACTTCAAAAGTTAGTTTTCACTTCTTTCGGCAGTGCTCAAAGACTGCCCTGCATTTTTTTAATGCGTTTTGACAGATTATATAGTGTATACTTCTGAATAGTTTGACATCTGACATTTATGCTGCTTCGATTACACATAGTAAATGAGTGGGTGCCTCGTCTTCCATCAATAAAATATCTTCAATGCAGGCGATTGCCTCTTGATTTAAGGACCTTTTTTTTGGGCAAACGAGACATTTGCAACATCAGTTGAGGTTATAGGAGTATAGTTGAAGGTCCCTAAGTCGAAAATGGAATTACGTAATTCATAATTCGTACATCAGTAAACGGATTTTTTTATGTTGAGAAAGTGGCAAACGAGCTGGCGGTTCATCTGATGTTAAGTGATAACCGCCGCGAAAGGACATTGGCAAAACCCGTAGGGTTGCAGAAGTGTTGCCACCTTAAAATAAATTGGAATTAAAAACTACGAAATAACTACGTTATTTTTTGAAGCCATACAAATCAAAGGAACTTATAAATTTAATTCAACAACTGAAGTAAGTAATCGGAAATATATTGACGTCATTTTGATTAAATTCCATATCTGTGAACATTAACGACGGAGTTTATATATTTTTGAACTTGGGGAAACCCGAATGAAATCGATCATTTATAGTGGTCAAACTGGTTGCTAATTGGCTACATTTATAAGTCCGTAATTCTCGTATATTCTACTGTCTTGATTTTACTCATACGTGGGATTATTTACGTTGATAAATATCTTGATGTTATACTACGTTAATAAAATTCCCAAAAAATAAATCCAGGGAAAGGACCTTGAGTTTCGTTTAACTTGTTTGGAGTTTTCGTACCGTACTAAGGCCTATTTAATTACATAATTATAATTTATAACTCTTGATTTTAAGTAATAATAATAAAGGCGGATATGGGTTTGTAAATACTTAATTTTTTCACTCTTTAAATAGATAGATAGGTACGATAATATTAGACATTAAAACTATGTATAAATGACAGCCACTTTTCCGTACACATAAGTTTTAATTATATAAAAAATCCCTTGTAATTGATAAACATATAGGTGATGCCACGTGTCACTGAACGTAATAATTATAAAACGTGACACATACAACGCATCTACAACCCTATGGGTGTTGCAAATGTCCATGAGTGGTGATTATCACTTAACATCAGGTGAACATAAAAAAACGTCCTGCCAATTTCCAAAAAGGTTGTCAACGCATCTAAAAACCCGCGGGTGTAGCAGATGTCTATGGGCGGCGGTATTCACTTAACATCAAGTGAACCGTCTGCTCGCTTGGCAACTTTTCGCATAAAAAATAAAAAATAAATAAAGGAAACCCAAAACATGCCGTGGCTCCAACCCGTAACTTCTAAAGAAAGAAAGAAAGAAAGAAAGAAAGAAAGAAAAGTTTATTTGGTAAATAAATAAATCGTTTACAAAAAATTATTTACAATAAAAGAAATACAATGTACATGCACCAAATAGGTTTCCACTCAGTATGAGTTCACGGAGATAGTAAACTTCGTGAATGCTGGTTTTCAGTGGAACCATAGGAGGATGATAGATGGCGTAACAAAACAGTGATTAATATGTAGCCTCATATAACAAACACAAAAAGCCTAATATAGCAAAAACAGAAAGCAAAATAAAACAAAATTAAAAAAATTGAATAAATCTGAATTACAAAAACAAAAGATAAAATACAATAAGACAATAGAATTGGTTACAAATACATGCTTGAGCTGTATGTAAATATTAGTGAGTTATTTGTGGTCACTACAGTTATGCCTTAATTGTGCTTGTTTATTCTTCCAATTATACGGAAAACTTAAGTGCTGGACTTTTGTGTTGAAAGGAGATACTTTTTTAAGTTGTTTTTAAAAGACTTAGCAGATGTTGAGTTCCTGATTGGTGGAGGGAGGTCATTCCAGCACTTAGTAGCAGCAAATCGGAAACTACCACGGAAAGCAGCTGTACGATACCGGGGACAAATGAGCCGCGACGTTGATCTAACACAACGATATGAAAATGTTAGCTTTTCGAATAAATACGAAGGTTCTTTGTTCCGTATAACCCCAAAAAGCAATGTGGCGAGATGAAGTGTACGTCGAGTGGTCATATTCATCAAATCGTGCCGGTTAAGAAATGGAGTTACGTGTGATCGTCTCGGGATTGTAAAGCAGAAATGTGCGCATGCGTTTTGTATCCTCTGTATTGCTTTTTTTGTCCTTGCATACAGACATTCCCCATAAACAGTGTCAGTGTAGGATAATTTAGACAAAATAAGCGTTTCACATAACTTAATTCGCATGTCTACCGTTAAAAAATTCGCGAATCCTATACAAAACCTTAAGTCTGTAGAAACAGTTACGCATAGTTTCTAATATATGACCCTCAAACCGTAACTTTCCATCCATCACTAAGCCAAGGTTACGAACTTCCAATACACGTTCAAGTAAAAAATCATCGATAAATATTTGCGGATTTAAAGCAAGGATAAAATTCATTCGATTTCGACTTCCCACGATTATATATTTTGCTTTGTCTGGGTTGAGGACAAGATTGTTGAGATTACTCCAATTATTAATAAGATTTAAGTCTGCGTTAACTTTCTTAGTAGCATTATTGGTGTCATTAGGCTTGAAAGAAATATATAATTGAAGGTCATGTGGTACCCCTCTGGCAAGTGACATTGTAGCCGATTTCATTTCAGACCCATAGTAATTGTCAATTTTGACGTATTGCTTACGATTAGAAAGATAGCTCTATTACTGTTAGGGTTCGTGGGAGTGTCAGCAGTACCATATTTAAGGTGATACCATCATCACCAAGTGCGTTCGAATTAAATGACTTTATTACTTTTAGAATCGTTAAGTCATCGACTGTTTTAAGTTCAAAAGTATTACATCCAAATCTATCGAATTCGTAGCGACTTAAAATTGACAAATTTATATTCTTTTCGCTGTTTTTGGGAAGTTTGAGAAAATAATTATTAATTTCATTAGGTTTACAAAATTGATGGGCTAGATGATTGTCATTTTTCTTAAAATTTGCTACGCTCTGTTTAATATTTTTCCATAATAGCTTAGAATCTTTTTCCGAATTAATGTATTGATTAAAATAAGCCGATTTTTCAGCCTGAATTGCCGTTTTTACGATGTTTTTTAATTCTTTATAATACTTTTTATGGGTGTCTAGATTAGTTATTCTACTCCTGGCATATGATTTATCACGTAGCTTCATCATTTGTGTTATAGTATACGTGATCCATGGATATGATTTTTTTTCAAGTAAACTGAACGGAATGGTGCATATGCATTAAATAAATCCAGCATTGTCTTATTGAAACTATCCACCATACTGTTTACATCACCAATTATAAGGCTTTCCCACGCTATTGTGTTTAAATCGATGTTAAAATTTACCATATTTATGTCCTTAAGCGGTCTATAACTGAAGGGTTTAGGAACTTGTTTA